TAAAATGAGGTCAATTCTTTCGCAGCTTGTAGATACTACAGTCGAAATAGCTAACAAAGTGGGCGCTTCAGAGATCATCAATAGAGTAGTGGATGATTTGAAGGATGAAAATGAGCAGTACCGAAAAATGGTGATGGAGACTATTGAGAAGATAATGGGTAATTTGGGTGCTGCGGATGTCGATTCTCGTTTGGAAGAGCAGCTCATTGACGGCATTTTATACGCTTTCCAGGAGCAAACGACCGAGGTTTGTCAAACTTATTCAAAATTAAGACAGAAAAACAATCAAGGAATTACATACAGCATGTAACGGCAAATTAATTATGAACTATAATGAATAAGGAACAGGAAAGTTAAAATCAATTCCTTTTCGTAGGATGTTGTCATGCTCAATGGTTTTGGTACGATCGTGAATACATTAGGTAAAAGAGTGAAGGCGTACCTACCACAGATTTGCGGAACGATATTGTGGAGGTTGAATAACAAATCCGCAAAAGTCAGACAGCAAGCTGCAGATCTTATTTCACGCATAGCTGTGGTTATGAAAACTTGTCAAGAAGTAAGAAAAGCATGATGTATATGATATTTTTGTTCACATTGCCATTTTTGTAATTTAGAATAAATTTATTAATAGTACAATATTTGCCTTAGGAAAAACTAATGGGACATTTAGGAGTCGTCTTGTACGAGTATTTAGGCGAAGAATATCCGGAAGTACTAGGTAGTATTTTAGGAGCCTTAAAAGCCATTGTAAATGTCATAGGAATGACAAAGATGACACCACCCATCAAGGATTTATTACCAAGACTGACACCAATCTTGAAGAACAGACACGAAAAGGTGAAAATCGAATTTTCCATTTATTATGTATAAATTGTATCGTTGCGTAAGAAACTTTTGTTGAGGTGTCTTATAATTTAATTGCATTTTATAACGTGCGTATATCGTTATTCTATGCAGAATTTAAAAGATTTATCTTACAGGTGCAAGAAAATTGTATAGACCTTGTAGGCAGAATCGCAGATCGCGGCCCCGAGTACGTTTCCGCTCGAGAATGGATGAGGATATGCTTTGAATTGTTGGAATTATTGAAGGCGCATAAAAAGGCTATTAGAAGAGCCACTGTGAATACTTTTGGTTATATTGCCAAAGCTATTGGGTAAGTTGAATGAATTAATCGAAAGTTTTCTCTGCATACGTATGCACGTATTTATACATTTTTCTACTTCCTCAAATAGGC